GAAATATTGCATATGTTTTTAATGTAATTTTGACAGATATGGGAGGTAGTTGACTAGTTGGCCACTTTCCTTTCTAAAATTAGGATGGAAAAACTTACTTTCTGTTAAGGTCATAGAAAAACTATTTTATTCACAACCACTAATCTTTTCCAGGTCGGGAAACAACATTAAATCCCGTGGTCGGGAAGTAATTTATTGAGGATTACTGAGGTTGCAAGCCCAATAAATATTAACAAGTCAATTTGTTTGCATAACGCTAATGTCAATGTATGAATTTTGACAGAAATTGAGATATTGTATTGTAGAAAAATAAGATTGTCTATATCATCTGCCAAAATTACAATAAAAATATATGTACCTAATCTCTTAGGGAGGTAAAAATTTTACCTCCCCCAAAAAATCTAGATCCTAGGAAAAATTATACAGGGTGAATATAAAGTATGGAACCAAGCGGTTTTATTTTTAATAATTTGGCTCCAGAAAATAATAATTAATAAGAATTAAAGTAATATAAAATATGTGATCGTATTTTCAGAACGAAATTTTGTTTTGTTTTTGAGTTATGCGATTTTTTTTTGTCAAAATTGCAATTTATGTGAAAAATTTTTTTTGAAAAAATTAAATATAAAGCAGAGAGTTGTAATCCTTGGAGTATAGCTTTTATAAGAAAAATGATTTTGTAGTGGGTTGCTATTTAAAAAAATATTTTTTGTTGTAGAACCCAAAAACAAAAGGAAATTTCGAAAAATTTTATTCTTGTTAAATCATCACATTTTTATAGTAGTTTATCACTCATCAATTAGTTTTTTCAAAAAATAAATAGTTTAAGCAAAAAACGTTTGGTTCCATACTTTTTATTCACCTTACTGGAAAAAAGTGTAACTTTCCTCACTTATTGTAATACAAATAACTATTACCTAACATTAATAAAAGTTTTATCGATTGATAGGGGAGATTTAAAGTTATCACAAAAAGTTAATTCTTCGCATGAAAATGCCCTCGGCTTTAATTTTCCGAACTAAAATCATTGTTTATTTTCTTGATACATAAATAACTATTCCTCCCAACAGGGAACAAAATGACGTTTTATTCTCTCGTTTTTGACTAATAATCTGGTACTTAGTTCCCTTAGGAATAAAATAACGATTTTTACTATTGAAATAACTTAGAATTGAATGAATTGAATCTTTTGACCGTTTTTTGACATATAAACAAACTCTTTAATAAAGATTTTTATTCTTAAAATTATTGCAATTGAATGTATGGAATTTTTTGACAATTTATTTGACATTATTGGACAAATTTATCATTTTCTTATATTATTATTAATTAAAGTCTGTTAAGAGAAAAAAAATAGTTTCGAAATTTGCTGAAGATAATGAAGTAAAAAGTATTTTAAAAATACTTGAGATTTTTATTATTATATCAATAACAATTTTAAAAAATGAATTCAAAATTTATTTAACGTCCATAATAACAATAGGTATTTTTTGTTTACTAGATCTACCTACACTTGTCAATTTTAAAATATGCAATAGGTAAAAGTACTAGAAACTCAATAGAATGTGAAACTTTTTTGTCCACTTCTGTGACATGCAACTAACAATTAATTAATCAATCCAACCCAAGCATTAATCAACGTGAGCATCAATCTGCAATTATAGTTGACTGAAAATAATTAACAGTACTTGTGATTGTACTACAACATTAGTGTTACAAATTGTTTACATATTCAATTTTTTATTAATACTTTATGGAACATTATTTTGATAGTTTTTTTGTTTAAGATGTTATATAAAATGAAATCATTAATTAAACTACTAGAAATAGGTAAATATTTCATCTATACTTTAAACAATAAATTATGAGAACAAAGAGCAAATTCGAAAAACTTGTATATATTTTATAATCGATCGATACATTTTGAAAACTTGTTCATTATTACGTCAAATCCACACTTTTATTAAGAATACCAGAAAGCGAAATTAAATACATAATAAACACTATTGTTAATAACAATTCTCTCGACTATCGATTATAAAATTATTTACTTGCTTTTGTAACAATGGAATAGAATGCGAGAGTGGGCAAAATTGCAGCTATTATGCCTATAACACGTGTGATTTAATAATATAACAATTTTTAGTAATCATTTCTGATGCTAAATGTTTTTTTTTTCAGACAGGAATAAAGTCTTAACAATTGTATGAAACAAAAGTAACACCTACTGCAAAATACAAGAGTAAACTTTTGCGTTGTAAATACTTCAATAACGGATATGGAAAGTTTCAAATTATTTTAAAAAGCACGTATTTGATAAAAGTATTATATCCTGTTTTTAAATCTAGAATTTCAGGCACAAGGTTGGTTTTCTGTTTTTATAACTCATAAAAATAAAAGTAAACAAGTCAAATTACTTTTTGTTAAATAAGTATCTGCATTTATAAAATTGATACAATTTATAAGGCAGGAGAAAAAATTGCTGTTAGTATTAAGACCAGACAAGTAATACTTTATCAAAATTTATAAAGGAAAGTAATTTCATATACGAAGAATGACGTAGGTTTTGGAATTAGATTCACATAAATAAACTCCGGTCAAAATAAAAACGATGATTTTTTTATGACAATTTTCTTAAAAAATTCCTTCCTCGTGCTTCCTGGCAAACGGCCACTGCTCTAGATTTTTACATTTTCATTTTTATTAGACAGTAGATGAACTGATGTTCTTAGATAAAACTATTTAAAAATTAAAAATTCGTACCTAGCTGAAAAAGTGAAAACTGAAACTGGGCTAGTTTAATCCACTATTTTCGATTTTTGAAACTACTTGTATACCACAGGGTCATATTTAAAAACAATATAACCAAACATAAAGCGCGGTTTGGTTTAAAACACTGATAAGCTATCATGTCTGTTCTTTAAGGTCATTTTGAGCAGGTAAACCCCAGGTTTGCTTATAAACGTCATAAGTCTCATCATTGCTCAACATTTACCTTGCATTTTCTTTATATAATAAAATAAATAACCGATAATAAAGTCACTTTTATATCAAAATCTTACTTCCTTATCTCCACTTTTAATTAAAGAAAAGATTAACTCGATAGAAATTTTCTAGGCGATATCTTTAAAGGGTCAGTCACAAAAGTCAATCATTGGCTTATTATAAAAATCGTTATTTTTAGACCAGCTGGAGAGTATGAAACATTGTGTGATAAAAGATATGGAGTAACCTTCATTACTATGAGAGCATTTTTATTTAACAAAATCAAAAAATAAAAAAAAATGTTTTGATTTCTTAAAAACATATACAAGTGTGCCAGAATTGAGCATTCTCGAAATTTATAAAAATGCTGCTACAAAAATAATTTTTATTCTTTTTGGTACAATTTATAATTACTAAAATTCTATAAGGGAGTTAGAAACGATGTTTTCAAACAACAATTAAAAAATGCTTAGTAAACGATTTATTTTATATAACTGTACTTTCTTCTCAAGTAAGTAATATTTTCTGTAAAAATTTCGTTTGCCTGTAGGACTTAACCGAGGTGGTTATTTCATCTGACACAATTGCAGGTTAAACGTTGTGAAGTGGGTAATTAAAACAGTTACTCGTAGGTGGAAAAAGATTCTCAAACGAACAACCTTCACATTTCAAGGCTATATTCTACATAATGCCTCTGGCAACAGAAAATGTGTAAGGCCACGTCTAAAATTAAACGCACGCATGATTAAATTTCACGTTTAGCGAACTTCCTCATTTTAAAATTATAACTCTGTTTTAATAACACACATTGAGTGAATCAGAAATGACACAAAAATCCATTATTCTCTCTTTAAAGATAAAAAAATGCCACTTGAGGCCTAGCAAAATATCTTGTCGCATTTATTTAGATTTGAGTTTGCTTATAGACGTATTCGTGTCAGTAGTGCTATAATTAATAGCAAGAATCCGCCAATATAACAGGCTTAGTCCATGTAATTGTACTAATTTAATTAATTAGAGGCTCTTTTCGATTTCAGCTTGATTCAGTATTAGAGTTTTGTTTCAGCGATTTGCTCTGATTCTTCAAGATGTTCAAGAATATAAACTAGAACATACGTCATCGGTTTCTTATTTGGTAATCATGGAATTTACCACCGTTTGATTGCAATTAAATCAAAGTCAAAAAAATAAATATGCTCCACTGGCTCGCTCTATACTTCCTACACCAGACTTATATTCAATAAAATAAAAATGATAAATCCGTAATAAAATTATCTTGTTTTCTTTTGTCTAATAAGTAATAACTCCTTTATCACGATAAAATAAAACCACATTACCTAAATAAAAAGTTTATCTTTGTCTAATGTCCCGTGAATAGTAAAGTTTATTGCAAGGGTTGTTGAGAAAATAATCTTTTTTGGTAATAGCCACTACGTAGTTTATCTTTGCCACAAACATGCACTTTGATATTAACATTGATTCGTGTTGAGATAAAAATAATTGTTGTGTTGATCAAAAAACTTGTGACCTATCCCAATAAAAATAATGTTTGCGACGTAACGGAAATGCATCATCTAAATATTGCAATATAATACTGTTTTGCAACAAACATACAAAAAATTCAAAATTTTCCACTTTTAAATGCAATTATTTTTTTAAACCAGACAATAATGATGAATAAAACGCGATAATTTACTTCGTGCGTCTGGCCTCCAGGATCATCATTATTTGACCTCTAAAGTTACATTAATATTGTTAAGTGTATAGATATCAACTCTTATCAAACTTATCAGAACATCCACACTGTATTATAGCAGCATAAATGAAAATTATTAATTCTAGCAATCCTGCGTATCAATCGTACTCCAACAAAACGTTCAATTCTAATCAAAATTTTAAAATTTCCCGCGTTGTCTCGTTTTGTAACTGTAGCACCATCTCAAGTTACGAGTAGTTGAAGGGCTACAGAAATCTGTTATCTGTCGGTAATACAGAGAGTATTAACCCGGCACTGTCATTAGCTTCACGAGAATTATCATAGACGGAACAACACTCAAAATGCGTCAAAAAAGATCCATTCCTCCATCATAAAAATAACAACAAACTTAAGAATAATATTGTGAAAATAAGCAAAATGGCAGAGAAGAGTCCTAAAGAAGACCCAAAATTCGATGAATTCTACACTGAGGTAAACTATTTGTTGTCGTTCTTGGTGACTTCTTATTTGTCCTAATTTTAGGTGAAAGAAATCGAAAAACGTGATTCCGTTTTAACTTCTAAACAACAAATTGAGCGTCTTTTGCGTCCTGGCTCAACCTACCTTAATTTAAACCCGTTTGAAGTGCTACAAGTTGAACCTGAAACTCCTATTGAGGAGGTGAAAAAACAGTATCGAAAACTGTCCTTTTTGGTACATCCTGACAAGAATCAGGATGATGCTGAGCGGGCCCAACAGTCCTTTGAGGCTGTGAATAAAGCCTGGAAGATTTTAAACAATCCCGAGACACGACAAAAGTGTATGGACATTATTGAGGAAGCTAAGGGTAGAACTGACATTATGGTATGTATTTTTGAGGAGTTTCGTTATCTTGATGAATTACAATAAGGCACGACGTTTTTGTATTAACATTGTTTGTAGCTTGCCGAGAAGCGAAAGAAATATAAAAAAGATGGAAAAGACAAAATCCCAGAGGATGATCCTGATAAATACAAACATGCCGTTTACGTTCTCACAATGAAACTGTTTGCAGATATGGAAAGAAAACGACGCGAATTAGCGGAAAGAGATCAGGAAGAGAGAAAAAGAAAAAGAGAACAGGAAATTGAAGAAGAGGAAAATCAGAAAGCTCAAAAGGAGTGGCAGAAGAATTTTGAGGTAACGAGATTTTTTAATGTCAGGCTTTAAACAATAATCATTTGTAATATTTTGCTTTGTAGGAGTCTAGACAAAATCGAGTTGAAAGTTGGCAGTCTTTCCAAGCCAATTCAAAATCAAAAACCACAAAAGCGAGTAAAAAGATCAAAACGTTTAAACCTCCGAAAAATAAGCCAGAATCTAGATAATTTAATACTAATGTCTTGTAGGCTAGTTATCTCTCAATTCATTAATTTGTGTTGTAATTTGTTACGTATGAAATACACTGCGCATACAAAAACAAAAAAAATCATATTTTATACTAAAATATTTTGTAGGATTTATTTTATTTTCAAAATAAAGGATGTGTCTCAGAAATGTATCCGAGTAATCAGACCACTTGTTATACTCAATTTTTGTTTGATTTAGGAAAATGGGATGAACAAAGGTGGCTTCACGGTACAAAACATCTATTTATTTATATAATATGAAAATATATCAGTTTGTTAGAATTGGTTACCTATATTAAGGTATACAATAAGTAACTAGTAAAAATTTACTTACATCATAAAAATGATTAACATTTTAACCCATGTACAAATTTGGAGAACATACTAAATAACGCAAAACGCTTTATTACAAAAACCCAAGATATGTCAGTATTGTTGAGTATTTTGTTATGATGCACGAGTATCCAAAGTCGGCCTGAGTGCCAAACAACCTTCCACCCAAAAATTCGGCCTTTCCAACATGCTTTTCCACAAGGATAATTCTTTTCCGGTAGCATCCATCCAATCGACGGATTTACCATAATGTTTACCTACAAGGAACAAATTAAATCCGTAATTAAATCCACCGCTATGAAACACTACCAGTGCCTAATGAAAATCGTACACCACCTAGGAACTCATTACTCGCTAATCGATCATGATCCCACACTGTTAATTCCAAACACCGTTCAGCTAATTCTTGCAGTGTGACATCATCGTAGATAAAAGTGTGGTTCCAAACCGGATTAACCGTTCGTTTCGCCACCGGAGTCTTCTGCTTGGAACTTCGCCCTTTATCAGGCAAGAGATAGCTGGAAAATTATTCAAATTTATGCGAAATGCAAATTTCGAGATATTTATTTACCTCTTGCAGAAAGGATCTGACGTTCCATTTGCTTTCACTGCCGTCAAACACTTTGCTTCCTTCACCAAGACATGTAGTGTACCTCTTGACCTCTTCCCTTTCTTATGTACCGTCATGTCGGGGGGAACAAACTTCAGACACACAATGATATCACCTTTGAATGATAACATGTCGTCGAAAGGCTCGGTCTGGAACACTCCAGTCACAAACTTTCCTATTAGACTCGGACAAACTCACCCTTTCCTGAAGGTTGTACCACTTGGGGGTTGGATCATCAAAAACTTTATTCTCTAAAGTCATCATGACCTCCCCTAAGAAATCATTCCTTCCGAACATGTCCGAATGCCAGACTGTTAGCCACAAAGTCCGCGTTTCTAATCCGTTCAGAGAAATGTGGAACTTGAGGGTTTCGTCGAAAACGGGATTCAGTGTGTGCTTTTTAACTTTCGTTTTTCGTTTTCCGCTTTTCGATTTGTCGGGCAGTAAGTAGACTTTGACGTAAGGATCGGAGCGATTTCGTTTTACGTCGACTGGTGCTAAATCCTTGCATTGTTTTATGAGGATTTCCAGGGCACGGGCTTTGTAGTTGTACTGGAGGCCGAATTCGACTTGGCCTCGGACTGTCACGATGCCGTAACGGCCCTCGCCCGCCCCTGAATACACACTCGCCATAGAGTCCGACCGCATCTGTAGACAAAAAAAAGAATAATTTGAAAAATTTTAACACAAAACAACTAATAGCACTCGTATTGTCATGTTTGGTTTAAACTGAGTAAAAATTGTGCTTGTCAGTGGAGGAATTTATTTAAATGACCTTGGCTGATATTTTTCCGATAATTAAAAAGTGCAAAACGACACAAAGTATTAATTAAATGTCCATATAAAAATGGGGCTCTGAGTAATTATTTTCAAAAACAAGCTTATTATGAACTAAATTCGGTACAGCTCTATTATTTTTTGTGTAACAAATTTAATTGCAAAGCTTCACGCTTCACTTTTTTTACTATAATTATTCCAACCAGTGAGACTGACGAGAAAATTAAATAAAAAATGTGCCGAAAACTGTTCGGTTTTCGATTACAGAATGTTAAAACAAAAAAACATCAAAAGATCAATAGTTATTTATTCAATCCTCTTTGTTAAAATTAAATTTTATCTACTCTTTTCTTCATGTTAAAATGAAATTTTATCGTTTAGATGATAAAAAAATACATCCATTGTTGTATATCTGCGGTTGTTAGTTGCCAACGATCTTTGATATTAGATTTCATTGATGAATTTTACTTTTGACATTTATAAATATCGACCAAATTAGTGAGGATTGAATAAAATTTTATATTGTACACGACGATAAAATTGTCATTATCTTTTCGAGCATATTAATCAAAGACAAAAATCAATTTTACCGTCTTGTATAATAAAAAACTATTATTCAATTTTAATTTTTACGAGTGAAACGGTTAAGTTTACGAGTGAGCACTAGACGATAAAAGACTACTTTATCTACTGAAATTAGTTGATAAAAACACTCTTTAATATTGAGTACGAAATAAAAAAAATACTACATTTTTTGTTGGTTTCTGAAAGTGAAAAATCGTTGTGTTTAATTTAAAGAAAAAGCATTTTGAAGCTTCAAGTTTTGATTGAGATATTTTCGCAAAAAACTTTCTGAGCTACGTTATAAACGCAATTCTAAAAAAAAGGCCGAGAATTTTTTTTTTGTATTTGGTCCACAGACTTGTTTGTTTTTTTAGTTAAATCAAGGCATAGGCCGGATAGCTTGTTTATTTAGCTTTAATTTGCTTCTTTATATTCTTTTTACGTCAATTTGTTGCTGAGATATTAGACTTTTAATGAAAAAAGATTCTTTTGTGTTTGATCGTGGATATCTCAGGAACCAATAACTGCACAGAGAATGTAAGGGTAGTTTCAAAAACTGGAATAAAACTCCTACAAGATCTTTTCACAATTTTTTGAGTAACATTTTGTTCACTTTTAACATTGACTTATTAAAGAAAAGAGAAAAAAATAACTTTTTTCAATGTTTTAGTAAATCTACCGCGTATTCAAAAATATTCATGTTACTAAGATCTTTTACAGCTTAATGTACCCTCAAAAGTCCTGTAAAGTTTTAAATCGATCTATCAAACCGTTTTCTCGGACCGATTGATAAAAAAATGTTTGTTTTTGTTTTGAAAATTTGTAAAAAAAATTAAAATCCAATACTGTAAGTCAGGCTCTGTATTCAATAAAATATCTTACTGACGACGAATCGTAAATAGAAAAGTTAAATTTTGTGAGCTAGTAAATAAGGCTTCTAAAATATTAAAGTAAATTTTATAAAACTAGATGTACTCTTATAAAACGAGTAAATATTATCATTTACTAATTTGTATAGGTATTAATGAAAACAATAATCCTCTTAGTTTAATAACATCCGCTTGTATAAAATGTTTTCATGTTAATTAGAAAATTAATTTTTAATATAATTTTTTTTAAACACAAATTTCCATACTGTGATGCAATTTTCATTCATCAGAACTTTATTATTACTGGTTTTAAGCTACCTCAAAGTTAATTAAGTGAGCAATAGTTTAAGAATTCAACTTCGATTACAAATAAAGTGGTTAGGAGTTTTATGTGGTACTGCGAAAATTCATTTTTCCTTTAGGAAAAATTCTCTAAATTAAAATATTTGCAAAACATGAATATTTTTTAAGAATTTGCGTTTGGTAAATCGATATTTACGAGAAATGTTTGAGAGGATTTTATCTGTAAACGTATGCACACATGAATCAGCTTAGCGATTGAATTTCAAGCTCTTTTTCTTTTTTTCATGGAAAATCTAATTTAAATAATTATATTAAATTTTCGAAAGACAACAAGTAAAATGTTATTTCCTCCCAACAGGGAATAAAGTGATGATTTGTTCACTTCATTTTGATCAATTCCCTCGGGAATAAGAAATGAAATACCAATTTGAACCAAATATTTGACAAATTTGTCATTTTATTGTCTTAAAAGTTTTGTATGCATCTCTGAAATAAACTCTCTAATAAAAATGCCCTTGGCTCCCTTCAGTCGCCTCTAGCATTACCAACATTCTCGGGGTTAAATTTTTTAATAATTATGAATGGAGATTTTTAAGAAATAAACACGTAATTTTTTTTTTCGTTATTTCTTTAATAATTTATCACAGGATATGCTTGCTGTAGCGATCTCACAAAGTGATGTATTTTGTTTTTTGCTGTAATAATAATGCTTTGCTAGATTACGTGTTCTTGCGTATTCATACGAGTGTTTTATTGCCTCAAAATAAATGAAAATGCAGCTGGAGATAAATTGTAATTTAACGCTTGATGTTGTCTTACCCCTAGGCTTGACAAACTGCTCCTCGTCTGATGTATGACCACAAGCCTATCTATATCATCATCTGCATTAACATTGGACCAATCTTGACTGGAAACGGATCCAGTTCCTCTTCTGGAACTGGGGGCAACTGGACTAGGAGTAGCGCTTTTGCTCCCATTTCGCGATGTGAGCATGGGTGATGAATGTGCTTCTGATATACTGACATCATCTGTAACACGAGAATGTAAAATTATGTTAATGGCGGTAATAACAGTCATTATGTAGAAAATATGAACAAGCGATAACTCGGAGATAAATTTAAATAACAGCAATCACTCATGGGATTAAAACAAAAACAAAAAAGGCCACTAGAAAGGTTGTCTATTGTGAATAAGCAGAACGACATTTAATAAGGCAATAAAACTGCCGTTCGGTACTAAACAAGTTATGTAAATTATGATATTCTGTATGGAGCAATAACTTTATAGATTATCGATCTAGAATCGTAAAAAGGAAAGAATTCGCAAAATAAATGTCACAAAAATCAGTATGTTTCTAGAGCGCCTTATGTAAGAATTTTTTCTTAAACCACCCACGAAACTCACAACAAGACGAAGCGAAACTACATTGTTAACTTCCCTGTAGAGAAAGTGAGTATAAGGCTCTTTTGTTTTCAGTACAAGAAATGTTCTGGGAACTTTGTGAACTATTCTACCGCTTTAATAACAGTACACTTGGAGTCATGATCTAGAAATCGATAATAATTCAGGCGAATTGACGGCTTAAATTGCTCTTGTCTTCTGTTTACATAACTGAATACATTTTTGTTGATTTATTGTTATGAAACGACTACCAACTCCTATTTATGGTTTTCTATTAAAAAAAACTAACCCACAGAGCTAGTTT